ACAGTATAATTTTTATATAACCGGTAATTATCAATAGTTATCTGATCTGTTGAACATAAATCGTTAAAATGTACATCCGTATCGTCTTTTGTCCGTCCGTCCGTCCTTACATTTGTTTTATTGACTTATCGATTATGGCTTAGTTTCCAATTCGAGTCTGCCGTTCACCACTGACGTAGTTCGCTATCTTTCTGAAACCTGATATTGATTTGTGAGCAACTAATCAATGTAAGGACTGCTAAATAAGAAATAATCAGAAGTGAAACGATGAAAGCGTTAGTGAGTTTTTTGTACAAATGGCATATCGTGTCGTCTGTTTACTGTTCCACGAAGCAATTGGAGCATAGCTCGTGACTCACCAGCGGAAGAACAGAAATTTGCCTGAAGTTGTCCAAGTCTTCGCGAGGTTAGGTAAAAAAATGCCGAATCTATGACCTGATGTCTATCGTTTGTCTGTGACGTAATAAAGCACTGAATAGATGAACGTTTTACACTGCCGGGTTACTATGAACAAGAACAAGTAGCCCGATCCAGAATTTCGTGCCATGACTTACTGTAGTACAACTTTAATTTTCATATTTGAATCGTAATGCAAATCAAGGTAGTGAAGAAACACTATGGTAACAAGTCTTTTAGAGCAAAATGTTTCGTATTTCAGTAGTAATAAGGTAGTATAACGTTACACGCATTTTGATGCGGTTTTGTCACTGGTTGAGCAGTACCAACATTATCTTTATCTTCCATGACCGCTTGTCCTTTCCGGTTACGGAGGCAGGCGCGTCAGACGGATTTTCCAATGTTCCCGATCCTGTACCAGTATAATACGTCAGAAAATGACCTACATTACCTGCATTAATTCATCTGTTTATGCGGATTTATTTCAACAGATTCTTATTCTTTTTTTTTGGGGGGGGGCAGAAAGACAGCTATTTTCACCTGTAGGCCTGCCCGTTGGCGGCCAGTCATCGTTCGAATCCTTATCACATACCCAAATCATCGTAAACATATGTTTCCGATCCAACGAAGTAGCGACTAACAAGTGAGGGTAGCTCATATCGCGATACTTCGAATCTCACGGAGTTTTGTTGCTTCAGCAATTCTTCGTTAGCTTTCAAGCACACCCAGTTTTCTTTCTCGAGTGCACTAAAGCGTAGGCTTTGGTTGATAGATGTTGACCTCGGCATTATGCTTCCCACCCGTCGCCTAGATTGATGTATATGTAAATTTGGTCTACCTGGTAAAATCACCCTGGTAGTGGTTCTTGGGCTCGAACTGTCTTGGTTGTGAATTTAGCATCGCAGCAAAATGCAAAGACAAGTGCAGCATTATATCTGATATGTGAGCGGCAGAATGACTGATTGGCTAAATCGTCAATGGTACAGCCAATAAAGGATGACTGCAGCAGAGTTGTTTGGTGTCGTGATTGTTAGCACCCGTGCCTTGGCGATCACATGATTTCCGTTTAAGTTTAAGATCGAACGGCATTCTTTCCATCGTTGTGTCAACTTCAGTGACAGATGACATCCTGTGTTAAGAGGACGACACTATTTTGCCACCTTTGGTGGGTCTTGGCTAGACGAAAGAGGTAAAAGGTCCAGGAGTCATATTCTCTAGTAAGCATTATTCTGGTAAGGTTTCGAGGAAGCTAGGCAGTAGAAATGAATTTTTTCATTGCAATTGCTATTTATTAATATTATTTAAACAGTTTAAAGCGGCATCAGGAGGTTTGCCCTGAATCATACATCTCAAGGCGGCTAACTCACGGTGAGAACAGAACATACTTTACGTTGTGCCTTTTCCCTATCTTAGCCTTGTTTTTTCTCCGTTACCTAACATCATGTGTCATGACTTCATATGACTTTAAGATTTTTACTTCTACGTTTACTTGTCAGTTTTTACTTTAATCACTTACAGCACTGTGTCGAATTAACCGGTCCTGGTTTCGGTAGTCGGGTGGTGTAGCCATAGGTTTGGAAGTGTTGTAGCATTTGACTTGGCGTAGTCGAAACTTGATCCTGTTTTTTTTTTGCGTACCGGGCTGCATGTGATTCATGTTTAGGTGTGAAGATTGGCGCTGAGTGCCTTGCTTTGTACTTATATACAACCACTGACAACACTTACACAACCACAAGCAAAAATAAGATTTTCTGGCCGGTTACATCAGAGGCCCTTTAGCCGCTGCTAGCCGAGGTCTTACGTACACTATGAAAGCAGCTTTTATTGAAAGTGCACGATTCGCTCCTAAGATTTTTCGAAAAGCTGTTTGCAAAGTTTTTTTTTCACATGATCCGCTGACTGTGCTACCACCGAGTCGCGAACGAGAGGGCAGTGATGACCATAGGTCAGACGAAACTATCAGAGGAACCCAACGACCTATGCCTGACTTGACTTGACAAACTTGACAAGAGAATAGAAATGTACTGAAAATTGTTCTCTTATAAGATATTGCAAGTTGGTACTAAACTCCGCAACATTTTGGCCATCTGCGACGTGGAACATAGTCATTGCCAAGTTAGCAAGAATTGTGTAATGTCTATCTGAGATCGTTTCAGACTGATCAGACACAGCCCATCGGGAAAGCTACTTCTTAACTATTATGACAGAGAAACAATACGATGTACTGATAAGAGATGTCTATCATATAAGTTTAACGGAAACTACGATCTCAGTTCGGTGAAAATATCTGACTGAAAGTAAGTAATGTCGACCTAGTCGACTTGGCGTCATTTCTCCTGCACTCGCTAGAGTATTAACTTTTACTGTAATCTACCGTCGTTCGCTGCTGATTTAGGCACAGAGAACTTGCCAGCTTTTGCATTTATAAATTATTTCTGTACTTTAAACCGTCCATTCCTCTTCAGTCGCTATGGAATCGACTATGCTTTGATCTTTTTCTTTATCTGGTTATTTCACACAGATCCTTATCAACCATCTTTTTTTACCGTTACTTATGTTGCCATTGTGGTATAGATGCGTATGATTTGTCACCTTGATGGACTGCATTCAGCATCGAATGGGTTATACCGATTACGGTAATTATTCTTCTTGGTCATATTTGTTGCAAGGGCCCTTTTAGGCCAGTAGTGAAGTCGTCGCATCTTTTTTTATAAGGCCCATAAAAAGATCTTTCGATCTCATGACAGTAGTTACCATCTAAAGAGTGTCTGTGAACCGAGCTGTCTGCTTAGTCCATCTCAGTCTGCGCTTTCTGTCTGAAATATGGTCGCGCAGCGAAATTTCCAACATCCTTTTCTTCCTGGTTCTCTTTGAGTAATGAGTAGTTGGAGTAAGTTTCCTCCTGTTTCAACAGGGACCTCGATTCGTTGGCGTAGAGCAT